TTCAACAAATGAGAAGCATCTTCGTCATTTTATCCTTTTTTTTTTTAATCAAACAAAATCGATTTTATAATTTTGGTCTTGTCAGTTTTTGATTATAGATAAAAGAAAAAAAAACGAAAAAAGGATGTCACTCATTTAACTACCGCTAAATGGAAGGATCAAATCCGAACATTTTTTTTAAACTATGATGGTCATCTTGTAATTTCAAAATTATAAGAACGAGAAGTATCATTTCTTGACAAGCGCTAAGAACTAAATTTGTAGTTTATTCTTAAAAAATTATAGATTAGTATAGTATTAGAAGAGTACTCGCACAATACAGCGAGATACATCTCGATTTTAATGTTTCGTTTTATTCTGTCTCCTATCGATGTTATAATATTGTTTTATGTGGTTTTGAGAAAAACAATAATGTTTTTGTTTTTGAATAAAATATAAATTTGAAGAGATCCTAATTTTTTTTTAAATATCGATATTAGTATCAAATTAACTATTTAAGAGTTCTTGTTTGTTGTGTAATTTCTTTAATTTAATTTTTTCTATTATAATTTAATTTAGCTTTAATAACGAAGTAATTTTTTGATTTAATAATATATTTTTTTATAAAAATAATAATTAAATATTCTGTTATAACACAGTGATTATCCTAATTATATTTTAAATTTTTTATATTTAAAATGAAATGTTTATTCATTATTTGATTATGTTTATCTGCAGTTAGTTATACGAATTCAAACATAAAGCTTTAATAAGTTGTATTTATGCATTATTTACTTGTAATTTTGAATTTTAAGTAATATTCATCAATAAAGAGTACTTTGTGTATAAAAAATGATTTTTAAGAGTTTTTTGTCAAATGCTTTATAATATAGTATAGATAAGTTACTAAATTTGGGCAAACAGTTACCAGCAACCCCAACCGGCCTCACGCGGAACCCACCTCCAATGATACCATTACAACAATGTGATGAACATTTTTTGATTCATTCAACAGCTGAATCTAGCAGAGGATACCCCACCTCTTTACCAACTGAACTGTATGTCAAATACAATATTAATTATTAAATATTTCATAATTAATTTCAAAATCTATATCCATACAAATCCAAAAAGACATGATAAGAGGAGGAAAGGCCACTACTATTAAGACCCCAATAATTCAAAATTAAAACTATTGCTTGATTGGTGTCAATGATGATGTGATATTGATCAAGACACTAAAGACATTGTTGGAATTCAGACACTTATCTCTTAAGTGATTAAGTCCTTTTTCCCTCCCAATTTAACCAATATAATATTTATTTTTGAAAAATAAAATAATATGTGACAATTTTAAAAAAATCTAGTCAAGTATGCAGTACTTGTCTAAACCGTTAGATTAAGATGATCCAACGGGTATAATTGAAAAGATGGTTGTAACCCACTTTTTAGAAAAGTTCAGATATCAACCCTTATTTTTCAAATTGAAAATCAGTGAAATATATGGAAAATTTATAAACAATTTATACAAAAATAATAATAATAATAACCACAAGGGTGGTGTCTGATTGGTTTGAGTTTGTCTCCAAAGATCAAAAGTACCAGGAGGTTCCAGCCTTCCAGGTTCAAATCCAAGGAGGAATAAAAATCCCCTTGTGATCACGGAGGTTCAAATGCGGTAACTCTGGGCTATCTGCAAAGCAGGTGGTCATCCTGTGATTAGTTGGCTCGCATAACGGGTTTGATATCTAGGTTAATAAAAAAAAATTGTTTTATCATATTTTATTTGACATTCATTTTGATATATTTTTCATCTGTATTTCTGTGGCTCTTTTTTTGGGTTCTCTTCAAAACTCACCATTATAGATACAAGGGTTCATGTGAGAAATGCAAATAATTTTATTGTTTTTATAAGTTGATAAAGACTTGGGATCATGTGAGACTAAGGGTTTTTCGTGAGACCAATTCTCAACGTTTGGATTAGATTTACAATCTGACAATCTGAATATTCATAAACGCCACGAGACTTCTTAATAATTACAAAATTGCCACCTCGCAATTTAGTCCATTAGATTATTAACTTAAAAAGTTGATCAATGAACATAAATTGGTCTTACGGGTCTCACGAAAAACTCTTGGTCTCACGTGAACCCAACCCAGCTGATAAATATATAATATATAAATGTAATCAGAATATGTATAACATCGGTGTATATTGTATATTCATTGATGAATATATTCATCTGTATTTACATTTAGTTAATGAGTATATTAAACAATGAATATACACAAAAATTAGTTCTTTAATTCTTAAAATATTTATGTTTCTCATCTGTATGCATGTGAAAGATTGTGTGATAAGGGAAATTATGGTAAAAAGCGTAAGAAGAGATATGAACCCTTAATCATTTTTAGTCTCAAGTCCACTCATTAATTGCGTTTTAGTAGGGAATTGATTCGATGCACCTCATTAGTGTTGACATTCAATTAAGATTGATTCAAGAGTGAAGATTTTTTCTTACACTTTTCACTGTAACTTTCTTTCTCATTGGAACACAATCTAGATCATAATTCATGGGTGGGTATGAGATTAAAAATAATCAAGGGTTCAGATCTCTTTTTACACTCACGATTCTTTGCTTATATATATAAATCGAAGAAAATAAAGAAAAAGCTATAAGAAAAAGACTAGTTGTAGTTCATGACTTCATGGGCATGAAAAATGAAAGATTATGAGACTTGATTGGATTTAAAAGGAAGATTCCTCCATTACCTTTTCATTTGAGGAAATTTGCCGAACTAACTTCAAATCTCAATATCAACTCTACGTCACATTGTTTAAAGTTTAAATCGTGAAATATATATATATATATATATATATATATATATATATATATATATATAGGGTTGGGTTCACGTGAGACCAATAGTTTTTCGTGAGACCCATAAGACCAATTTACGTTCATTGATCAACTTTATAAGTTAACGATCTAATGGTCTAAACTTGCACAGTGGCAATTTTGTGATTATTAAGAAGTCTCGTGGCGTTTGTGAATGTTCAGATCTAACGATTGTAGATCTAATCCAAAGGCTAAGAATTGGTCTTACGGGTCTCACGAAAAACCTTTGGTTTCACATGATCCCAAGTCTATATAATAGGTGGTTCAAATAAAAACCACTCAATTTGTAAAAACCGTGAAAACCTCATTCAACCAATCATAATTTTTCATTTTGTTCATTTTTTTTGTAATTATGAGAGGTTGATTAACCATTTTTATTGTGGAGGGTGTTAATCATGAATATTATAATCTTCATTATTTTAATTTTARAGAAATACATGAAACAGTTTCATTAAAATTTCATTAAGTAGTATATGAAACAATTTCATAACCACATATGAAACAACTTCATCAAAAAAGTATTATATGAAACAATTTCACAAGATTAACAATTTCATGAAAAAATTTCATAAAATTAACGACGGATGAGAGTAGTTTTTACGGTTTTTACAAATTGGAGTGGTTTTCATTTGATCGCTCCTCTATATATATATATATATATATATATATATATGTGTGTGTGTGTGTGTGTATGTATATATATATATATATATGTATACATATAAATAAATAAATATATATATATATATATATATATGTGTGTGTGTGTGTGTGTGTAAGGAATCATGTGAGAATAAGAGTTAAACCGAGAAGTGTAAGAAGCGGTTTGTATCTTTGATCACCTTTAATCTCAAACTTATCCAGGAATCAGGCTTGATATGAGGATTGATCCAGTGCATCTCATCCTAATGTCCATCCATGGATGAAGATGTTTTCCTAAGTTCCTCAGTTTAACTTCTTCTTCTCACTGGAACCCAACACATATACACATATGTATGTGTGTGTGTGTGTTAAATCAAATGAGAACCACAAAAAAGTTGTCAATCCGCGAGAACCGATTAAAAAATATTTGTGTTTTCCATCAATACTATATTTTAAGGTATTTTTTTACATATATTTGTTTCATAATGATATAGTTTCACATGCATTTGTTTTACATTATGAAACTTTTTACGTGTATTTTTGTTTCACTATGTGAACCAAAAAAAAATCCATGTGGATTTTTTTTTCACGATATAAATACAAACATATGTGAAACAATAACTAAAATCATAGCCTTCAATGAAAAAAATATGTAAAAAAATATTTTTATATTCGGTTCTCATGGATTTATAACTTTTTGTGGTTCTCATTTGATTTAACCTACACACACATACACACACACACACACACACACACATATATATATATATATATATATATATATATGAGATAACATGAGTTTTTATCAAAGATCAGATAAATTTCAAAATAACTGATCTAAATGACGTAGTCTGGATAGACTGTGAAAGCGGAAAATTGCTAGCATGGTCAATACATCGTAAACTATTAGAAACGAAAAGGGTAACATAATATTTACATATTTTAGCAATTGGCTTATGAATATAATCGTTGCTGGAATTTTGTTAATACAAGATTTACGATAAAGTACATTGTATTCAAAGACAACACTTCCTTTTAGAAATCGTATGAAAACGGGTATTTTGATAACAGTTGTCGCTTTTATATTATGTCACATTAAATAAACCAGTCTTTTATTTGTTAGGTAGATACAAATCAAATAAGTAAACCAGATAAAAAACGTACCAATTCAACCTTATCTTTCTTTGAAGTGAAAGACAATGCCATCAACATGTCTACAGATAGGCAAATTTCATTGGACAAAAGCTACCCAAAAAACAAGAATGACACATGACAAGTGCTTGCTTTTCCATAATTTAACGTTTCAAAACTCGAAGAGATCAATCGTTGTGATAAAGACGGGACAATAAAAGAATGGTTAATTGGGTATATAATTCCACCCGAGTAGGTAATACTGATCTGCAAGTGTCTCGTCAGCCATCAAGAAACCATACATACATCTTAAGTTGATTTTGTATCATTTGCCTTATGAACCCTAACATGGAAAGCATGCCATCAGAGCCATGTGTCCTTCGTCATGATATAAATTCAAGCCATCCAGAAGAAGAAGAAGACGACCATGGTAATCCTAAACTGGATCTACGTCTGTCTTTGGAGGATTCTGATCGAAACCCTAATCCAGAGTTAAATCGTGACAAATTTCTTTCAGGAAACCGAATGGAGGTGGTCACTTTTGATAAAGATCGTAAGCAGAAAAGATTTTCATGTAACTACTGTGGAAGAAAATTCTACAGCTCGCAAGCACTTGGAGGCCATCAAAATGCACATAAGAGAGAAAGGACGGTCTCAATGCGCAAAAATAAGGTTCAAAGCCATGTTGAGGATGGGTGCACCCAACGATATCCGACTAATATGTCTTCCCTTGGGGTCAAGGTTCACTCCATGGTGGTTCACAAGCCAACAAGCGTTCCTACTTTCTCCCCATTTTCTAATGCTGGAAAATATCTTGGGGGCCAGCCTACAATAGGGCGGTTTATGTCACCAGAGCACCACCATGTTGGATCGTCATCAGGGTGGGACACTCGTGGCTCGGCCATGCGTACTAGACGGGATAGTGGTGCTATTCATTCTCAAAATGGTCAGGACGATCAATTGCCAAAACTAGACTTGTCTCTCAAACTCTAATTAGATTTTCCATTTTCTTGTTCTTATGGCCAAGATTTTTTTTTTACAGTTTCTTTATCATTAATCTATACCACTTGGCATTTTTTTTCAACAGCTATTTATGTATAAAGTATAAAAAATAAGAATTGATATTTTAGTGGAACCCAGAATTTCTTTTATCAGTAAAAATTAAGACGTATAATTTTATACAATTTATTTAGATACCAAAAAAAAAACTCGAAAGAGTAATACAACCCACAAATAATACTTATATTTCATGCCTATATATGAATGTAATGTATAGAGTAAGCTATGATTTACGCCCATGTGATTTGTGAACGATTGCTATTGTTATCCCTATGGTTTGTAATCCTTAAACTAAATGGTTGTTTGGTTAGATGTATTAAGCAGTAATCAATGAGAATAAGAAAAAAAAAGCAGTTTAATTATATATAATATAATCGACCCATCCACCCAGAAGCCCAAATTGTCATCCCAGATTAAACCAAAGGGGAATGAAAATTTATTCCCATTTTCATTGTCATTCTCATTCCCTTGTCTGAACCAAACACCTCATAAATCTGTTAAAAATCCTCCATAAACTTAGGGGTATTTTAGAACAAAAATATAAAGAAGATATTTAATATAACCAAAAAAGAAGAAAATATATATATCAAAAAGACTAAAATACCCCTTAGTTAATGGAGGATTTTAACAGATTTAGTCTCGGGGACAAAACAACTACAAATTACAAACCATAGAGACAAAAATTGCAATTTTAAAACCACGAGGAAGAGAATCGCAATCTTTCACAAACCACAAGAACAAAAACCATGGGTTCCTCTAATCTTCTATATATCTAGATAAAGCAGAAACATGCAGCGCTGGCGTGACATCACCTCAAAACAGCATCCATGCCTTCCTTTCTCCGATTTCCCTTTTCTTCTCTCCCATTTAATCCAAAGCAAAACCTTACGTCTTCTACCGTTATGTTTTTCCTTCTTCTCCATGGTCAGAAACCTCTTTCTTCTTCTGTATCTCGACACCATTGATCAGTTATTTCTTTGTTCTTCTCCATCTCCCGTTCTCAATCCGTAGTTAGATATCTTTTTTAATTTCACGTTAAGTTTTCCAGTCCATTTTTGAATTTGCTGCGCATGTGTATCAACAGGTATGTTTGTGTTTGATCTTTTATGTTTTTTGGGGTGGGTTTAGTTTTTGAAATTTGAAAGGTTTATGTTCTATTGATCTGAGAATTAGGGTTCTTGTAGTTTCCTCTAATAAATATATAAAACCTATAATTTCCAAGTCCTGAAAGGCGAATTTCCGCAGACGTTCCCTAGGACCCTTGAGATTAGTCGAGATGCACACAAGTTGATTCAGACAACCATAATTAAAAAAAAAGTTATTCATGTAAGGTCATATGCTAACTGTATCAGATATTATCCGTTTTATTTAAACCTAAACTCACAGTTTTAAACCAGATACAATAAAAGAATATTCATTCTTTTATAAAATATTCCAATTAATATGGGATATAAAGTTTCAAAGTCCATCTGGCATCTGGCACGTGGCACCCAGATCCCAATTGCATTCTGGATTTTTAAATTTTGTATTATTTGTATTTGTATTTGTATTTGTATTTGAAGGCCAACTGAGCATGTGGGGCCCACTTTTTTTAAAGTATAATATGGAATTTTATTTATTATTAGTTTACAATAATTAATACATTATTGTATTTATTAAAATAATTTAATTTACAGTTAAATAAAAACAATATCCATCAATAATATGAGATTGATTATGAGAGTTACGTATGCAATTTGGTTAAACAAAATTTCAATAATAGAATATGCTTAATGAGCTTTAATTGATGAAAATCTATTAGGGGTTGTGTTACAGTTGTTAAATGGTTTGCTGTAAAATGATTAAGTGGTCAAAATGATCAAGATGCTTTTATAATATAGTGTAAAAATGAAATATAATTGTTTGGTAATTATTCAAAATGAAATTATGGTGCTGAATGGTTAAGCGAGACCCAAGATACAAAATCATTTAGAGAGTTTTATAATCAATTAAGAGACAGACTTTTTTGTGTCAAACAATATTTATCTCTTAGCAATTAAGAGATTGGCTCTTAATGAAACTATTAAGAGATAAACAAAATCACCTCAATGTTTGAATTATTATATTAGAAAATATATAAATATTTATGTATCTAAGAGGTATTTTCTTTAAAAACTCATGAAATTTTGATAACCTTAAGAATTACTATATCATGTGTTATTTCATATGATTTTTTTTATCTGAGATCAAAATTTAGAATATCGATTAACACATTTGTTTCACAATGTGAACCATTTTAGTCTGTTTGTGAAACAGAAGTTACATATAAAATAGGATCATACTGTGAACCGCATATATATATATATATACAAAGTAAACACATTATGAAACATATATATTTTTATCAGTACATTAAATATTAGCTTAGATGGAAAAAATCATGTAAAATATAATTTAAAATAAAAGTTATTACGATTATTAAATAGTCAAATAATATAAAATTTCAAAATACAAAATAATTATTAAAAGTTATTACGATTATTAAATAGTCAAATAATACAAAAGTTTTAAGGGGTTGTTTATCAGTTGTTAAATGGTTTGGTTTATAATGATTAAGTGGTAAAAATAATTTACAGACTCTCATGATATAGTGTAAAATGAAATATAATTGTTTACAAAGAAATTAAAGCGTTGAATGATTAAGGGAGATTCATGATACAAAATCATTCAGAGAGTTTTAAAACCATTAAGAGACAAACTTTTTTTTTGCTAAACAAGATTCACCTTTTAACGTTTCAGATATTGCCTTGAATGAACTTGAACTGTTGAACTGATGATTTTTAAAGAGAAACTCCAAAAACCCAAATCCTTAATATGAGTGAACTAACTGATTTTGCTTTTTTTATTTCAAACATCTTTTTCTAGATATATAAATAAATGCTTTCATGAGTGCGTGCAACAACTTGTGGGTCTCCATTATAATGTATAACCAGTTCTTTAGTAGTTTGTAGATTTCTAAACAGATAGTTATAATGGATTCTTTTTCTAAAAGAAATTGAAAGATTTCGTTGACCCGGGCTTTGACCGCATGTCTGTTGCGTAACGATCTGGGCACTGTCTCAGAGAGAGGCTCGGTGCAGCTAAAGCTGCAAAAATAAGATTTTTGTGTACTAGCTAAAGCGTTACGTATGTCCGGTTGAATCAACACCAGACAATAAATGTCTTTTTATGGGCGCTTTATTCGCCCACATCACCATTCAATATTTCTTGGCCCACAATCGGCCAAGCCACAAATATATGATCGTTTAATAGATCAGGTTTATGAAGTCTCATTTTTACCGTTACATACATTTGATTGAACTTTTAAACCAACTGAGCACTGCTTTTTTAATATAAATTTTTTTAAATTTAAAACCAGAGTAAGGGCCCGTTTACTCAAATACTTACCCGGTAAGCGCTTACCGGTACGAGTCAACACTATAATCTATTTTACCAGATAAGATTGTAGTATATTAAAACAGTATCGTATACAACAATTTACCCGGGTAAGAGTCTTCACCATCACTTACCGGGCAAGACTCTCTATCCTTATCATTGCTCTTACCGGGTAAGATTTTTGGTCTTTGCCATGTGCATGAGGTGAGGAAAGTTACCCGAGCAACACTTATCGGATAAGTGTTTAATAAACGATCCTTAAAATGATTATAAATGTTAATCAAAATCTCATAATTCAACCATCATATAACCTTTGACCTTTTCTATTTACCAGCATTTATTAATCATGTTATGTAATCATGGGCATGAGTGTAATTTTGAATATTAATGCATGAAAAGGTTGAGTAATGATGCCATGTTTGTTCAATTCTTGATTGAACATATTTTATTTCATAATAAATAGTTTATATGGTTTTTATATCTGAATATCTCTCGGTCAGGGGCGGATTGAGTTCATTAGATACGGTCAGGAGCGGATTGAGGTCATTAGATACGATGGCATAATGCACTGCTAAATTCGTTCCTTTTAAACTAAAGAATTAGGCTCGTGAAAGTTGCAACTGTATTATAATGCTGGGTACCACTGTGTGTGTGTGTGTATATATATATATATATATATATATATATATTGAAACTAAAGTAATAACAGAAGTTTGACTTGATAGAGTTGGTTTGGATGATTTTTCTTCCATCCTGGGCGCAAGTTCGCTTTCAATCAATTTCTTAATTTTTAGCTGTTAATTTCAAGTTTATTGAGTTTTTAAATGCAGTATCAAAATCACGTAACACATTTTTGACCAGTCCGATAAATTAAATAAATGGTAATCATATATTGTTTTCTTAAAAAATAACGATCATTATCTAACATTTAAATGTATTGTATGCATTTAATATGTGATAGACATGTCGTTGAGATCTATAAAAGAATAATATGAAAAAGTAACATATTTTAACTTTATTCCTATTTTGGGTGATGTATTTTCAAAACTTCTATATTGGTACCTCAGATGTAAAGTTTTAAAATGTTAATTATTCGGTTGAAAACTAATTTTAGATTAAAGAAAAGACTAATTTTAGATTGAAAAAAATTCATGTCACTAACCACATTAGCAAATAATATTGAGTTGGATACAATATCACTCGTCATATCAGCATGATAACCGATTAATGTTTCAACCAGTTACTCGGGCACTTAAATGTTTAAAACTTCACATCTGAGGTACCAACATGAAAGTTTTGGAAATATGTTAACCAAAATAGGAATCAAGTTAAAGTACGCTACTTTTTCATGCAATTTGCTCAGAAAAAAAGAATACAACTTTTAAACATATTTTTCTTTCTGAAGGTAAACACAAACGTATTTTTTATACATAGTGGCTCGTTGAAAATAGAAACTTGATTTTCAACTAGATTCATAGAATTAGATGTGTAAAAGTATGGATAATCAGATAAGTTTATATTTATCTCATGAATCAGTATTTTATAGAATTACATGGAATCAGATGTGTAAAAGCATGGATAATTAGATAATTTTATATTTATATCATCAATCAGTATTGTATAACAACTTATCAGTATTTCAAATAACAATCATTTGTTTTTCGTTTATATTATTGAATAATCTAAAATGTACTTGATAAATGGCGTCTAAAATTTACCTGTAAGAAAAGAGAAATCAGTTTAAAAAAAAATTTGAACATCGTAAGAATGAAAAGTTAAAGGGAGATTAATATGTGAATTATTGAAAAAAAAATCGTGAACATCTATTTGAATATGCATATGTGATATGATGTTACAAATTATTCATATAGATTCATATATACATATTTAAATATATTTTTTTAATAATTTACATATGAATCTCCACTTACATTATGTTCACGAATTTGGAAAGAAAAGACAAAAAAAAATAGAAAATTTATTCGTGGTTTTGAGAGTGAAAGGAAATGATAAAAATAAAAGGAAAGAAAATAAATTTGGAAAATTAATTAAAATAGTTATTTTTATCCCTTTTTTTATTAACCTAGATATTCAACCCGTTATGCGAGCCAATTAATTCCAGGGCGACCACCTGCTTTACAGATAGCTCGGAGTCACCACATTTGAACCTTCGTGGCCATAAGGGGATTTTTATTCCTTTTTGAATTTGAACTTGTGACCTCCTGTTACTTTTGACTTTGCGAGTCAAGATCAAATCAATCAGGCACCACCCTTGTGGTTTATTTTTACTCGTTGGTTTCACCTCTTAGTCACTTTTTTTAAAGTTTACCAAAATAGCATTAGGCCCGCAATTTTAATTTTTCTTTGCCGACCTGGATGAAAAATGTAATTTTCTTACAAACCAGGGTGAAAATGTAATTTTACAGCAGATTGTAATTGATGAATAAATGTTTAATTTTATAAAAAAATTATATTATTTTTTTATTTCCTTTCTTTCTTTTCCCCTCCATATTTGGGATGAAAGTTTTAAAAGAAAAATTAATATTATTGTTCTTCACTTTCATTTCCTTTCCCTCTTTAAAAAACAATAATCAATGTAAATGAAAATAAAAGAAACAACTGATTTTATCTATCTATACTATATTATAAAGCATTTAACAAAAATTCTTAAAACTCATTTTTTATGTATATTACTTAAAATTCAAGATTACAAATAAAATATACGTAAGTACAACTTATTAAAGCTTCATGTTTGAATTCGTGTTACTAATTACAGATAAACATAATCAAATATATGATAAACATCTCATTTAAAATATAAAAAATCTAAAATATAATTAAGATAATCATTAACATTTAATAGAATACATAATTATTATCTTTATAAAAAGATTATATTATTAAACAGGAAATAAATTAATTCATTATTAAATTATAATAAAAAATCGAATTAAAGAAATTACATAAAAAACGAGAACTTTTAAATACTTAATTTGATTCTAATATCGATATTTTTTTTCAAGTTTTTATGAGATCTTCAAGTTTATATTTTATTCAAATATAAAAACATTATTATTTTCTCAAAATCATATAAAACCGTGTTATAACATTGACAGAGATAAAAGAATAAAAAGAAACATTAAAATTGACATGTATCTCGTTGCATTACGCGAGTATCCTTCTAGTATAATATAACAAGTCTTCCTCCAAAAGCCTAAATTTCCATTCCAGGTTAAATCAGAGCGAATAAAAATTCATCCTCATTTTTATTCTGTGTCGATTTCATTTCCATTCTCATTTTCAATAATCAGTCTGAACTCTGAACCAAACAACCCATTAACTTTTTTTTTTATTTAAATCTTCCAATAATTAGTATTGACGTAGTGAGTTATTTTCAATTAAAGGGGTGTTTGGGATTGCTTATAAAAATAATTTATTGACTTATTCCGGTGTGACACCGGTAATAAACATTTTTGAGTGTTTGGATAAACAATTTATACCGGTTTGAGTTTTTAAAGAAGTTAAACATTTATAACTTATAATAAGTTAATAAGTGCTTTTGTAGAAAAATATAAGTTGTTTTAAATAAGTAATCTCAAATACCCCTAAGATTAATCCAAGGGTTTATATTTTTTACCATAACTTTTATTTTTACCTGAATTTAATTGTAATTTAATAATAATTTTATATAACTTTTAAATAAAAAAGCCATTTTAAATAATTGATTTTATGGTCGAAAGGTTTATCTTCATCCATACTCTTTCTTTTTTAGTTGCGAATTTATTCTCTCTGAAATTTCCAAAAATTTTATTTATAATTTAAATTTGAAACATTTATTGCTTCAACAACGTATTTATTCTTGATAAATATTAAGAATTACAGATTTTCCGTTCAAACGGAAAATGCTGTGCGGAGGCCGCTCGGCGAAGCGTGGAAAAGACGGATCGGCGCCGGTGTACCTCAATGTCTACGATCTTACTCCCATGAATGGCTATGCTTACTGGCTCGGCCTCGGCGTCTATCACTCCGGTGTTCAAGGTTTGGATTTCGTTTTTTTCCTACTCGATACTTGTAGATTTTTTTTTCGCCGATCGATATACTCTAAATCGAGGTAAGGAAATCTTCGTTTATTATTTCATCGAGAATCTAGCGAACTTAGGAGTAAATTTGATTTTTGATTTTAGTTCATGGAGTGGAATATGCATTTGGATCTCACGAACATCCGACAACTGGAATCTTCGAAGGAAAACCGAAGCAGTGCGAAGGATTTGCGTTCAGAAAGCAGATTCTGATAGGATGGACGGAGAAGAATCGGAGAGAGGTTAAAGGAGTTATGACAGAGCTTGCTTCAGACTACAAAGGAGTTTCGTATAATCTCATCACCAAAAACTGTAACCACTTCTGCAACGACGCCTGTGTTCGACTAACCGGAAACACGATTCCGAGTTGGATCAATCGTCTCGCCAGAATAGGTACGTCACATTATTGTTGGCATTTACATTCTAGAAACCAAATCTTACACAAATCTTCCACAATTTTTAGTTGCATTAGCGATCGTTATAAGATCGTGAATCCTTGCTCTATATTCCGATCTCTGTTTTTCCGGGCGATTTTCAGGTTTATTGTGCAATTGCATAATTCCGGCGAGTTTAAGTTCGATTAAAGTTGGAATCGAAGATAACAAAGTGTATAATGAAAGAGCAACTAGAAAGAAGCTAAAGAGCCGATCTAGAACATTCGCTTCATGTTCGAGTTCTTCCTTATCATCTGAGAAACCGCCATTGGCATCACCTCCAGTTGCTCGGATCAGAAGTCTCAAGGGTAAAACTACTCTACCTCCATCTTCCCCTTCGATTCTTCATTCTTCCTCCACATCTTCTTCATCTTCATCTTAGCATCCTCAAACAGTTCTTCCTTTTTCTTCGATCAATCATGTATGTTTCTTCTATTTGTTTAAATTTTTTTGGATTATTATATTTTTGGATCATTGCTTCAGGAATCAACTTTATCCATGTTCAAACGATTCGAATTAAATTTATATGAACAGGTACAGTATACCAGTACGAATCATATTGTCATAGAGTGTGGGCATCCACAATGTTCATCAAAAGCGTACGATCCGATTTTAATTAGATGTTGCATTTTAGGTTTTCCTGCAAACTCCGATTCATGATTAACAATTTTTTTTCAGAATTTTCTTATCATGCTTTCAATCATAGTTATCAATTATTTTTTGTTATCAAAATCACAACATTTTTTTTTTTGTCACATTGCATAATTAACATTGGAAAATTGATCAAAATACTTGTGTTCTCAAGTCATTTTTCACAAAGGAAAGGGAAGAAAATGAGTGCAACAAAAAAAACATGACCACAACTCATCTACTGATTATTCAACAAAGAACTGTCTTTTCTGTATACTTTCTCCAGTCTCGCTGCCTTCTCTTTGAAAGAAAGGGTGCTTCCGGTATGCTTTCAGCAGTTATCCGCTCCGCATTTGTCTACCCAGCGTTTACCGTGGGCACGATAATTGGTACACCAGAACTTGAATTCTTTTTAGGAGGAAAATGAAAGAAAAAATAAGGGGAAATTGACGAAAATAACCAATCTTTCCAATAAGATTCTATTTCTAGTCATTTTTTTAATTAAATTATCATTTTAGCCGGAGATTGTGTAAGGCCTATTTTTGGATTTAAAAGAAAAGTACGGATCCCCATTTGGGTAAAGAATTTTCGCAAGGATCCCTATTTGTGTGAATATTGTTTTTACTTTTTAATCTGATAAATAGACTTTACGTAAATACCTAAGACATTTACGTAAATTTTGCCTAAAATAAGAATTTAATGTCAAAAGTGACCAAAAGTGAATTTGGTTGAAAAGATTAACTATTTTGGTCAATTTCACTCAATAAGGTTGATTTTTTACCCCAAACCTTCCAATGGAAGGAAAGAAAAGAAAAGAAAAATAACAACAATTAAAAATATTTATAAATTTACATGTTTACCAATGAATTATACTCTGCTTTAAAATAAATAAAAGTAAAATTGACATCTTTTCTTTCCTGCTCAAGAAGATCAAATTTTAATTTTGTTTCCTTGTTCATTCTTTATTCCCCTTTTTTACAATTTATCTGAAATATCCAATATTTTGTAAGTATCTATTTTACAATTTATGAAATGTATTTTTTATATTGAAATATGATTCTGATAGGCCATTTTATAAACCAAGGATATTTTACAAGTCAAGTTCACCAGAATTATATCTAATTTAGAAAACGTACATTTCGTAACACACTTGTAAAATCTTGGTTGTTTTTGTTCAATTGGAAAAATAGTGAAATAAAAAAATTAAATAGGAAAGAGGCATTTAGCTATTTTCCTTAATTTCCTTTGACATTTTATCAATCTTAAAATATTGCTTTGTAAATCTTATAAAAATTTGCAAAAGAATAAGGTAATTTGAAGCGTTTCTGTAAAAGTGCTTATTAATTTATGCAGTATTAAAACAAAATTTTGTAAAAAGTGTTTGGATTAGTTTATAGCGGTATCAAAAAACAATAAGCTGGTAAATTGTTTTTTAGTGTTTGGCAAATTTTGCTTATATATGTAAAATGATCAAAAAGGACAGTCTTCCATATTATTGACAAAAATTTATATCAATAAGATTAATAATTAACAAACATTAATAAAACATAGTTAAAATAGTAAACTGGTAATAAACAATTTTTCATAAGTCATGAAGTATTAACTTATCAAAAACTGCTTATTACCGATATGACACTGGTATAAGCAGTTTTTTTCCTCATCCAAATACTAGCATTTAGCTTATCACCGGTGTCATACGAAATAAGTAAAAAAAAACACCTAAAATAAGCAAATCCCAAACACCCCCTAAATTAAAATTCCATATTTGTTTATTATTACTAGAAGAGTGTTCGCATAATATATCGAAATATATCTCAACTTTAATGTTTCGTTTTATTATATATTTATGTCAATATATACGGTTTTTAATGGTTTCGAGAAAGCGATAATTTTTTTATTTTTGAATAAAATATAAATTTAAATATATCATAAAAATTAAAAAAAATATCGATATTAGTATCAAATTTATTATTTAAAGTTCTGGATTTTTTTAATGTAATCTTTTTTAATTTAATATTTTACTTATAATTTAACTTAGATTTAATAACGACGTAATTTATTTATCGTTTGATAATATAATTTTTCTAAAGATAATAATCAAGTATTTTATTATAACTAATGATTATTCTAATTATAACATAGATTTTTAATATTCAAAATGAGATGTCTATCATGTATTTGATTATGTTTATCTATAGTTAGTTACACAAATTTAAAAATGAAACTTTAATAAATTGTATTTACGCACAATTTACTCATGATCTTGAATTTTAAGTAATATGCATCAATAAACAGTACTTTACGTATAAAATAACTTTTAATTTTTTTTTATCAAATACTTTATAATATAATATAGATTAGGGTAAAAAATGTAATGAAATTTACTTTAGTTTCATAGATTTCATGAATCTAATTCTAGATTACTATTATTACAAATAAATTGATTATCAATTCTTTAAAATGCATAATCATCGGCTTTAAAATTTACTTGATTCTACATAGATTTCATCTTTACCTACTAATTTACTCCTCACATGCGTCTTTAAGACTATTTTTTACATCTCCAAATTTCAATACATGATTTAATCTGATTTTGACAGAAAAAATGATTTACGACCTTACTTGAACATGATCTGTTATATGGGTTTGTACCTCTGTATTTTAACCATAAGGGTGGTGTCTGATTGGTTTGAGCTTGACTCCAAAGATCAAAAGTACCTGGAGGTCCCAGGTTCAAATCTAAGGAGGAATAAAAATCCTCTTATGGCCACGGAGGTTCAAATGCGGTGATCCCCGGCTATCTGCAAAGCAGGTAGTCGCTCTGAAATTAGTCGGCTCGAATAACGGGTTGATATCTAGGTTAATAAAAAAAATGATTTAAATAATATTACTGTTGATCCTCTCTCTCATTGATTTGTTGATAATCCCTTTTTCCTTTCGATGTATTTATGTATCTGTAATTTCAGTTCCAGCGATCAT